ATAGAGTGCCTACTTTACGACAGGCACTATGCTGCAAGTTAGTTTACCTGAAATACTCATCACAACCCAGAAAAGTAGGAAACACAAGCTCGTGAAAGGAAGGAAACTCACCCAGGATAATACAGTAAAATGTGCTAGTGGCAGGATTCCATGCCAGACGTTCTGAGCTCAGGCACTGCCAGCTCTCCATCACACACTCCTTACCATCGATGACACCAGTGTGCAATGAGCATGCTCCCTGTGAATGGGTACCTAGGAACAGGGCTGCCCACCTAGGAACAGGGCTGCCCACCTAGGAACAGGGCTGCCCACAGAGGAGGGTAGGAGAATCTGTCCCCAGAACCCTTGCCCACACTAAATATTCTTTACTTTTTAATGAGTATTACTAATTTGACAAGTAAAATATGATGCACATATTAATTTAATTTACATATTTTTTTACAGATGTTGATGCAGATTAATTTTCTCATTTGTATGCTATCTGATTTAAGTCTATTTTATTGGTGATAAAACACCAGGACAGGCTTGTTTCTTTGAACAATTAAAGTAAGAAAGGGGGAAAGAAGAATAAGCTTTTGAGCACTGATTTTATATTTATCTATCAATTAGTCATCAAGGTAGAGAAGAACAAATTCTTAGTCATCCTCACCGAAAGATTGCAAAGCACATTTTGTTTCTTTTTTCAATTGGCCAAAAATTGTGTCTTCTAACCGTTTGGTGTCTAGCAGTAAAACTGAAGTCACTAGCAAAATGTCTGTTTTGATAAATCGGGAACAAAAAGACCAAAACTAATGACTTCCACAATGGAAGGTGCCCTGGGAAATACAATATAGAATAGTGGAATCGAGGGCTTGTTTACTATGATTCTGTATATCCATCTGATGGGGAGTATAAATAGGTTTCTTTACACAAAGGGACCCCGGGAATGGTGAATCGGGGAATAATTGACTTGTCTCGGTATGTTTGTGAATGTGCATTTTTATCTGATGGCAAATATGCTGTTGGCCTTTGAGTCAGACACCCACCATAAAATTTCCTCAGCTTCATATGAACCAAGATAGTGTGCCCATCCCCCCCTCAAAGAAAACATTTCAAATTAGCATTAATCATCCAATGTCGTGGTCGGGGCCCTACGGTGAAAGCCACCTACTGCAGCTGAATGCCATTCAGCAGGCAAGAAGTGATTTGCAATATAATTTAAATGAAGAGTTGGTTTCTTTTCCTATTTAGAACACACCAGTATGGAAAACTGATTGTCAGACATTCTGGTGATGTGCATCAACTTGGCTATTCACTCAGAAAATGAAGTTTCCTGAGACACCCGCACATTTAATTTATTTTTTTCCCTATGAAGTTAACTTCAGCTTGTTAAATACAATGACTATCCAAACCACAGAAAAACCAACACCATTAATTTTAATGCTTATAATGTAATGGAAGGAGATTATATTCATTTGGGATTTTTCTCCTTTTAATAGAATGTTTACTTGCCCCTCTCCTTATGAGTTAATTATTATCTTCTCTCCATAATGCTCTGCTTGTATCTGAGCAGCAAACAGAGTCTGTTAATGTCTTGAGTTTATAGATTACTGGTGATTCTATCATTTTGCAGTGTCGAACACTAAAGCATCAACAGCTTGCCAGTGTGGTAAGTGAATATGTGACTGATAGGAATGCAACTACTTCCTTACATAACTCTCCTGTCTATTTTTATAAAACATTTAGTTTTAGCACAGTGTCTTTTCTATGCGTTGACTGGCATATTGAAGGACTTTTCAGTAAATTATACAGTAGTGAGTTAAGAATTGGTGACTTCTGTTATCATTTGGGTATTTATGTTTAATTCATCAGTTTATTCATTTAATAGACACTTAGTGAGTACCTGGCTTATTTCAGTAGTGTGCTGAGTATTAGGGATTAAGACATAGTCCCCATGTTCAGGGAGCCCACAGTTCTGAGCAGGAATTGCCATAAGGAATTGCAGCATAGGCTCAATGAGATGAGTGGTACCAAAAAACTGGGTATAAAGGGTAATAGAGGGTGCAATGGAAGAAGCTTTTCCTGGAAAGAAGACTACCAAAGAAAGCTTTGCAGATACTGGAGCTGATCTTGAAGTCCCAGACCTTGAGTTCTTCAAGTTGGCAGTAGAATGATTTGTGAGGGAGAGAGGAGACAGTAAAGGCAGAGGGAACAGCATATGCAAGGTAGTGATTTAAAAAAAAAAGAAAACAAAGTAGTGATGAACACCTATTGAAAACCTTCTGTATGTTTTTAAGGAATAAAAGCTGACATTTTCCAAACTTACCATTTGTCAACCACTGTTTCAAATTCTGACATCTGCAAACTCAAGCCTCACTATGACACTTTGAAGTAGGTATTATCAGTACTCCTTTTTACAAATTAAAATACGTGCCTAGAGAGATTCAGTAACTTGCCAAATGTCACACAGCTGGTAGGATCAGGAAAAAGACTAGAACTCAGGTTCTTTAAGTCCGAAGTCTACAAGTTTAAATATTACACTAATATTTCAGTGTAATATGGCATCTTTGCTCTTTAGATCCCTTACTCCAGCTGTGCAGAGAAGACATGCAAATAGTGGCTGCCATTCATGACAGTGTCTAAGGGGGATAACAGCAGCATCTATGACTTACAGAGAGTGTTAAATGAGATATGAAATGTTAAATGAGATATGAAGTATACGAAGGGCTTAGAACAGTGCCTGGTACATGGCAAATAATTTGTTAACTGCTGGGATTATGATGATTAATGTGTTAAAGGTAGTAGAATATGCCAGGTGCAGTGGCTCACGCCTGTAACCCCAGCACTTTGGGAGGCTGAGGCAGGTGGATCACAAGGTCAGGAGTTTGAGACCAGCCTGGCCAACATGGCGAAACCCAGTCTCTACTAAAAACACAAAAATTAGCTGGGCGTGGTGGCATGCACCTGTAATCCCAGGTACTCCAGAGGCTGAGGCAGGAGAATTGCTTGAACCCGGGAGGTGGAGGTTGCAGTGAGCTGAGATGATACCACTGAGAAATTTGGAGTTGGTGGCATTTGATGTAGACCTGGACTCCTTAATCGATTATTTCAGCAAGAGAAAGCAGAATGCAGAGATGAAAGCTGACTGGAAAATTCCAGTATGTTTAAGAACAGTAAATAAACTAATTTGATTAAAGCAGAGGTCTTTAAAGAGAAGCAGAAAGAGTAAGATTAAATAGGAGGGTAGAAATTGCTTATAATTAATTATATTTGTTGAGTGACTGGTACTGTTTATACTTTGGTTTTAGTCATCATAACGTTTTCCTGGGATTATAGACTCATTTTTTCCTTTTGAAGAAAATGAGGCTCAGATAATTGATGTAATATTTCTCAGGTCATCCAGCAAGAGTAGTTAAACTTGGACTTGAACTCAGACCTGTGTTAAAGTGCCAAGTGCTTTTGACCACACCATACTTTCATTTTGCAGCTCTGATCTTTCTAACACATCATCAATATTTATAGAATAATTTTTCTAGTGAAAGGGGTAGAAAAAAAGTAAGAACATATTTTGTTAATGTTTTCTTCTTTGGGTTCTGCTTATCAATCACTATAGCCCAACATATCCCCAGTTAATAGCCTGTGTCTGCTTTCATTAAAATAGAAAGAACTGGTCTCTCTGTTTGATTTCCTGTACACACATACACCCCTCAGGTTTCCTATTTGTGTGTATCTGTTATAACATATACCATCAATAATAAGCCATTGCCTGAAATGAGAGCTAACAGTTAAGAGTATGGACTTTGAAGGACTGCAGGGTGCCAGGGCTAGAATTCTGGCTCTGCCCTTCATAGCTGTGGTCATAAGCAACTTTTCTACATTCTCTATACTTCTATTTCTTTATCTGTTTAATGACAGTTATAATAGTACCTACATTATTGGTTTGCTGTTATGAATAAGTGGATTAGTACATATAAAAACTAAAAACTATGCTTAAAATGCTATGGTAATTCATTTAATATTAGCATCATTGTGGCTTATAATCTAACATCTATTGAGATGAAGATCTGTGATTAGCTCTGTCCTTGATCTGTTTGTGTTTCTATAAAGGCATGCCGAGACTGGGTAATTTATAAAGAGAAGAGGTTTACTGCAGACTCAGTTCTGCAGGCTATACAGAAGGCATTTTGCCAACATCTGCTTCTGAGGAGGGACTCTGACTGCTTTCCCTCATGGTGGAAGGGGAAGGGAGCCTGCATGTGCAAAGATCACACAGCTAGAGAGGAAACAAGAGATAGAGGGGAGGGAGGTGCCACGCTCCTTTTAACAACCAGCTCTCATAGGAACTAACAGAGCAGGAACTCACTCATTACTGTGAGGATGGCACCATGCTCTTCATGAGGGATCCACCAAGTGACCCAAACACCTGCCATTAGGCCTCACCTCCAACACCGGGTATCAAATTTCAACATGAGGTTTGGGGGACAAACATCCAAACTATAGCAGTGAGGATATGGAAAAGGCATTCCTTCATACATTTGCTGAAGAGCATGTAAAATTGTACAGACTTTGTGAATGGTAATTTGACAATATCTATCAAAATTTAAAATACACATTTTCTTTATCCAATAATTCTGCTTTAGGATATTTATCCTACAGATAGATTCATCCAAGTGAAAAATATACAATTTATACCTTTTGAATTTTAGACTGTGTACGTATAACCTAGTCTAACATTTTAAAATAAAGATGAATGAGCATGTTTGCTTTTATTCATGTCCTTCCCATAACCTAGCACAGTGCTAGGCTCAGGGACCCTGACAAGTTCCCTTTTGTTTAGCCTAGCACACGTCCTGTGGCTCTCTGTGCCCCATGACCATCTACCCTACGTGTACCATGCACACTTTCAAATCATACACTTCATCCTGAACCATTCACTTCAAACCCCATTGTGATGACCATTGTACTTTATCCTCTTTCTCCTTTGGTTTGCCTTCAAAATTGACATCACTTTTCCATTGCAGCTATTTCCTTGGCTTCTCTCATGACGATTCCTGACTTCTGGCCCTGGCAGTCTTGGGAAGACATCATCCAGCTTCTTCAATCCAGACCCTGGGCCCCCTCCTTTCCCCAGGATCGCCCCCACCCAGCCCGGACACATTGACTGAACTGTTTTCTAGGACACTGGTGAGTAAAATGCTTGGCTACTTCACGAAAACAGTTCCAATCATCCCCTCCCAATACCATCTCCTCCACTTTTGAGCGTGATTTTGTTTCTTTCAAAAGCGGCTCCAATACTCTTCCTTTCTGGAACTGCCTCTCCTGTAGTTAATACCCCAAGGTTCATTATTTGTTTAATCACTGACTTATTCAATGAGGTGGTAGCCAGCAGAATCTGAGAACTGAAAGGTGCATGCCTTTGTCCCCCTCCTATGTGGTTCCATTCAGTGTTACTTGTCTCTGACTTAGATTGGAGACTAAATGGATTAGAATAAAACCAATTTAGGGGAAAAAAGAAATGTTCACAGAAACAGAAATAGAGAGTCCTGCTATCTTGGCTGCCTAAGATCTGCAGGCCTCACCAAGGAATTTAAAAAGTAATGTTTCTTATCATAAGTGACAGAAATATGCTGCTTTCTGCATCAATAGATATGAAGATTAAAGGGTCTGACCATATTAAACAATTTTGCACAGCACCAGGCACTCTGGGCTGTGCTCTCTGCCTTATTACCCTTCATCGTGTGGCTATTTCAGGCCCAATTTAAGAATACAATGCCGTCTGGCTTTGCAAATTGACATCCTTTAATTTAAACTGTCTTGTGGGAGAATTAAGAAATTATGGAACAATTATTCGCCCTCAGTTGAAAGCTGGATGACATCCTGAGATTCTTGTACATTAGCCATTTGAATTGATTAAGTCACGTAATTGAATTACACCTTTGCCCCCATAATATCTTGTGGCACATATGTTGGTGGTTCTTGTTGGGAAATGCTTCCATAAAAATAGGAGAGGGGTTGGTATTAGAGATTGACCTGGATATCAAAGAAAACCTCAGAGCAGAGTGGGCTGACACTCTGAGATTCTGTGAGGGAGGTTGATTAACAGAGCAAGTGTTCTATTTGGAGTTGCAATGGAAGTTCACAGATCAAAACTGTATGCATGATACAGTGTACCTCCTTCCTTAATCTCTCTTTGCATTGTCCTTGAACATTCGGCTTCAGTGGCTGGCATTCATTCTCAAAGCTTTTTCTAACATCTCCCATGGACAAAAAAACTGGGTTTGGTGTACCTTCCTTTGTCTTACATGGTTTTCCAAATATGCTTCCATTAGAGTAGCTACCACACTGGTGACAGGTTTCTTTCACCAGGCAATGAGGCTGGAAACCATGTCCAGCTTACCTAGGTTAGTAATAGCGCTCAATAGGTGTTTGCTGAGCGAGGTTTTATTAGTAAGTCTCCATGGTTTTGTCTCTGTTTCCTTTTGTTTCATGGTGTGCAGGGAGGTAGAATCTGTTAGTAATTTTGTAAGCATCATTCTTAAGTAGGAGTTTTTTCACTACTTGTGTTATTAGACAATTTCATAGAGAGTTTATTAAAGGCTAACTCTATCTGTTTAACACCTATGAGGCGCCTATTATGTACAAAAGCTAGGCTAGATGCTGAGGGGAAAAATTAGCCAAAACATACTTCCTTTTCTTTAGAGGAGCTCAAAATCCAGTGGGGAAATTGAAGAGGTCTGTGCAAGAAATAGCTCTGGTGACTGAGCAAGCACGTAGGAGGCTGTTCCATAGTCTAGGACTCTGAGAAGGGGCCATGATACATTCCATTTCGTTCCTCTCTGAAGTTCGTACTGTCGTTGGTCTGCCCTGTGCCCCCTCCCACATCGTCCATTTTGGAATCCAGCAGAGAAGAAAACTCTTAGACGAATGTCCTGTGGACAGGCTGGATGTGTGCCTTTCATTTAAAAACTCCTCTAAAGGAGAGAGGTTTTAAAGCACTGTTTCCCCTCACCCCACCCCCACACTGACTTCCAACTCTCTATCACACTGTGCAGCATTCTGGGTCTTCCTATTCTTTGTCTATTCTGTGTGGCACAAGAATCTCTCTTTTTAAAGGCTCTTTACGTTTTCTTTACCTTTATCAAAGAACGCTCTTGGAGCTTTAAAACCCAACCACAGCTATCTTCCTGAATATTTCTGTGGGGAAGGGATTAATCAAGCCTGTCAAACATTGAGCTGTAAAACCTTTAATATTTCTAAAAGGTTTAAAGCCAGCATATTTATCACATGCATCATTGAGAATAATCTTTCCTTTTATAGAACAAATTAAATGTTCACTGTAAAATATTGTGGTGATGAGCACAGTGGGTGAAAGACGCATGCAGGGGCCCGATGTGATATTGCAATGGAGATTCTGGTTAAATCTTTCCCTGACATCACCCTGCTAGAAACCACCCATCATCCCCCACACATCTATTTATATGAATGCTTTATACTTTGGAATCCTAGAATCTTGGTGCTCAAAGGGAAAGGGGCTAATATTTGTTGAGTGCCTGCTATGTCATGCATTGTGTCTGCATGCTTTAAGTGGGCTTCCACATTTTAATTTTCTAAACAATCCTTTATAATAGGTACTGGCATATCTGATTTATAGATAAGGAAACTAAGATTCAAAAAGTGAAGGAATTCTCTCAAGATCACATAAATATTTATTTGCAAATCTGGGACTTGACCCTATGCCCGGCTAATTCTTTCCTTCTGTTTATGTGGCAAATGCCTAGCAAATGTTTAGCAGAAGGCAGGTGCCCACTAAAGAGTTGCTAAAGTTATTATGACTGTTAGCATCAAAGTCTCTGGAGATTTTTATTGAAAGATCATTATTCTATAGACAGAGAGACAGTGAATATTGTTGTGTCTGATTCTGGGAATCTGAGATGTCTAACCCAGCAGTGGTGGTAGTGTTCCTTAGGGTAGGGAGAGACTCACTTGGGACTTTTGATTGCTATAACTAATACAAACACTGTATTTTGTTGTTTATAAAGTGCATTCGTGTGCACAGTCTAATTTAATCTACTCAACAGCTTAGTGAAGTAAAGTCAGCACTACTGCCATTTTACAGGTAGCAAAACTGAGGTACAAAGACATGATAAATCATACCCAGGTCATTCAGCTAGAAGCAACTTGTGCTCCAACTCCATTCTTCTTATTCGAAAGTCACCATCTTTCTGCTAATACTTTAAAACCATTTAGTTATTATTCCTAGGAATTCAACTAGTAAAATAAAGAGGTTTTTATGTTTTGAAATTTTATTGATATCAAATGTATAAAATTTCAAAAGAGCAGTTTAACGACTGTTTTGATACTGGATTTCAATTTAATACATTGATTCGAAGTCTTTTGCAAACACCATTCTTTTAAAATATCTGGAAGAGTTATATGGTGCTTTGTAAGAATCCATATATAATAAGTTTTTCAGCTTTGTTCAGTTATAATTGGCAAAAAAATATAAAGTATTCAAGCTTGCAAGGACTTTAGAGACTGATGACTCTTGGTTTTCGATTAGATAACTGAGGTGTAGACATTGAAAGTAGTGTGACAGAAGCCCAGGCAAAATACTGGGATAACAGAGAACAAAGATACATTCATTCAGATAGGGATGGGTGGTATGAAACCATGGAAGGCTTCACTGAGGAGGTGACTCTTGATGGTGTCTTGAAAGGAGGAGGATTTTAGTAGGGGGAGAAGAGTCAACGAGTGAAGCTACAACAGAAGAAAAGAATGGCCATGTATGAAAATGATAACATGATGGTTCTATGGGTGGGGGCCCTTCATGGAAGCTCAAGTTTGTTGCTTCAATATAATTAGTTGTATAATTGCATTCCCAGACTACCGCATAGGGCTGCACACACATGTAATTAGACCCCCTACCAGCCAGATGGTATCTTCTGCACGCCTCCACTTTAGACCTCCAGCTTTGTAGCAGAGCAGGCAACCAAAAGAGAGGTCCTGGGGCTCGGAATATTTGCAGTTCCAAACTCCCCTCTTCTATGAGCATACCTCTCTGCGTTTGCCAACTGTACTAGGTGGGGGAAACAGACAAAAGACTTAGAAGGAGGAACAGCTTTCTCTTCCTAGGTTACTATGAAGACAACAGGCCCATTTCTGGAACTGTTGGGTGGGCGAGATGTTTCACCAGTTTACATTTAGCAAACTGTAATTAGCGTCAGCAGGAGAAGAGAAATGACTGTGTTGGGAAACTCCACTTTCCTCTGCGCAACAGCCTCTGTTCAGAAGGGCTGTTCCTTGCATTTGGGCTTCTGTGATGGGGAAGCAGTGCACAGCTGCCTTATATAGTAGCAGTGGGCTTGTTCTGGGCATGAAGCTCTTAACTGCAGCAGGGGACAGAGGCCAATGGATGATCCTCTTTGAATGGCAGAGTGAATCTTGCTTAGGTGTCAGCCAGGTGGAGTCACTGGGCTCTTGTAAGGTTTCATTCATTCCATAAATACACCTAAGCCCACACCCACATAAACCCTACTGTGTGCTGAAAACTAGGCTTGATTTTTAGGAGCTACAGATCCCCACAGGCCTCTGTGAAAGGGCATGCTGGCTAACAGCAGATTAATGGCTAGATACACAAAGTGCCATCTGAGGCTTCTTAGTTTGGGGACCATTGAGTAAATCAGACACTCACTGTACTCGTTAGGATGAGTAGTGCTAGCTGCCTTAACCAACAACATAATTTTAAAAAGTTCATTATGGTACTTAATACAACCATTCAGAAAGCTAGGTTTCCCCGTCTTATCTGTGTCACCATCATCTTCAACATGTGGCCTCTAAGGTCTCTGAAGATGGGGAAAGAGAGAGGAAGATCATACTTGGGAGATGTTTAGGGACCATTTCTGGAAATGGCAGACAGCCCTTCCACCCATATTCCATTGGCCAGAATTCAGTTATATGGCCCAATTTAATTGTTAGGGGAATGTAAATGTAGCTTAGCTATGTGCCCAGGGCAAAAATGACATAGATGAAGAGATGTCTGCACTCCCATGTTTATTGTAGCACTGTTCACTATAGCCAAGACAGAATCAGCGTAAGTGTTCATCAACAGATGAATGGATTAAAAAATGAGATATAGATACAAAATGGAATAATATTCCACCATAAAAAAGAATAAAATCCTGTCATTCACAGGAAAATGAATAAGCCCGGAGGACATTATATTAAATGAAATAATCCAGGCACAGGAAGACAAACATCACATGTTCTCACTTGTATGTGGGGGCTAAAAAAGCTTATTTTATAGAAGTAGGGAGTAGAACTGTGGTTACTAGAGGCAGGGAAGGATGGAGGGAGGAGGGAATAGTGAATTTGGTTAATGGATACAAAATTACAGCTAGATAGGGAAAAAAGTTCTAGTGTTCTACAGCACTGTAGGGTAGCTATAGATAATATTTTATTGCATAATTTCAAGTAGAAAGGATTTTGAACATTCCCAACACAAATTAATAATAAATGTTTGAGGTAAGAAATATACTACATACCCTGACTTGATCATTACACATTGTATACATGTATCAAAATATCACTTTGTACCCCATTCTGTCTATCAAAAATAATTTTTAAAAGTGAAACAGGCCAGGCGCGGTGGCTCAAGCCTGTAATCCCAGCACTTTGGGAGGCCGAGACGGGCGGATCACGAGGTCAGGAGATGGAGAGACCATCCCGGCTAACACGGTGAAACCCCGTCTCTACTAAAAAATACAAAAAAACTAGCCGGGCGAGGTGGCGGGCGCCTGTAGTCCCAGCTACTCGGGAGGCTGAGGCAGGAGAATGGCGTAAACCCGGGGGGCGGAGCTTGCAGTGAGCTGAGATCCGGCCACTGCACTCCAGCCTGGGTGACAGAGCAAGACTCCGTCTCAAAAAAAAAAAAAAAAAAAAAAAGTGAAACAGACATAGTCTTTTCCTAACATGTTTCATTAAAGTCAGTTCCCATTCAAACAAATGCAAGATCATCTAAAAGAATTACCCTTTATTACCATTTTGAGGAACCTTTCCAGGAAAAATGCTCTTCCAGCGCAGAATGGAACTCAACTGGTGAGAATTTAATTAACACAAATTATCTAGAAGTGTCTGAAATGAATGACTTCCTAATTCTTCAGTCCAGAATTCCTCTTATGGTATTTGATCCTAAAAATATAAATAACAAAAATTTCTGAACACAAAATTTATTTCCACATTACTTGTTGACAAAAGGCAAACAACCAAAATTTCCAAAAATAAGAAGATTTTACTGAAGTTCTTCACACTTAAATAAAGCAGTCATTAAATAAAACATATTTCTAAATAATTTTTCATATTGTTATTGACATATGGACATAAAGATAGGCTTCAGAACTTTATATACAACAGGATTCCAATTTTGTTCCAAACATGTTTAGGTGTGTAATTATAGACACCTGAAAAGACTAAAGACAATGCATTAAGATATTAAGAGGAAACATCTCTACATAGCAGTATAATAAGGGCTTTTATTTTTCTCTTTATATTTTTTTCTTCTAAATCTGATGCAATGATGAGTTTGCGTAGCTTTTGTAACTATAAAAAATAAATCAATTAGGATCTTTAAAAAATGAAGCAGAATGAAGAATGAATTTGGACTAGGACTGACTCAGGATGAAGAGAATTATCCCAAGTGCTTCAGGTGGGAACAGCCAAAGGGTGTGTATGGGAATGTCCTAGAATTGTGTCAGATCCAGAGAGGGAGCTGCAGGGTGGAGAACAGAGTGTATCATAATGGTCAAGACTTATGCAAACTCAGGGGGCCCACAATAATTCCCTTAGCTGGGACAGAGGGTACAAATCTTTAGTTGGCTTTCAAAACTAGGCAACTGAGCTGATTAAATAATTCAAACCTAGGGCAATGGGTTCAAGTCCTGGCTCTTCTAATAACCAACTCTGTGGCTTTGGGCATGTGTCTTTACCACTCTGAACCTCATTTGTAAAAGAAATAATACCTTCCTTATAGTATCACCGTGACACTAAATGTAATCACATTTTCAAGTATTTAACACATATCTACATATACCTATACATACATATTTACACACGCATATATACACACACACCTAGACCCTTCCCACCAAGTTTGGAGGGGTGCCCTTTGGGATAAAGCCCCTTCCTCACTGCAACTTTTCATAATCCTCTCCATGCTTCATTTCCCATCCCTCTCCCTATCCCCATAGTACCATTACTAGGACCACCTGAAGTTTTAGCCCAGAGGCATTTCTTCCCTATGATTTTCACCTGCAATTTGGAGCTATTCCCCTTGAGAGGTTTCTCCTGTCTTCTTTTCTTGGTGAGTTCAGTTTGGCTTCTAAGCAATCGAGGCCCCCTCTATGTCCAGCCTGCATGTCAACTAGGAGAAAGGTGAAAAATCCTAAACTGTATGTTCTAAGACAAATATCCAAGCAAAATAATAGAAGGCAAAAGGATTGTAGGGTACCATCACATGTATCTGGGTGAGAGAGCACTCAGGCTGTGACACTGCGCAATGCTGCAGAATCAGGAAAAAGGAAATGCAGCCCAAGGCGCTGTGACTTCACACCCTGCTGCTTCAACATGAGGTCCTGAATCATTTCCCCAGTTCTGTCTGAAGCCAGCCTCAACAGATCATCACAACAATCACCTTAAGTGATGAATACATATATGTGCCAGGTACTGTGCACGAGATTGTCACACCTGGTACATCTGGCTCTTTCATTGCATCGTGTTTCTTCAAGTAAGAATTTTGTTTTTCTCCTCTGCTGCCTCCTTTTTTTTCTCCTTCTGGGGATGTCTTTATTTATATGGCTACTAAACTGAGTAAAGGTGTGACAGGAGTTCCTAAGAAGGTACTATCCAGATGTGTTATTGTGGTTGCCTATATCCTCTTTCCCTGCACAGCTGAAGAGGACAGGTTGGCTAATGATCTTGGCGGGTCCTTGAACATTCAGCCTCAAGGTCTTGACCTTGGTTTAAATAGTGCTCAGTGACTTCTAACAAAAAAGAGCATGAAAGAAAACTGTTTTGTTTCCAGCTTAGAGACTCTCCCAAATTCTAGGCTGGTCACTGATTTATGCTGCCAAGAAGCCTGTTGCTGATTATGCTGGATGCCCCATAAATTAATGAGAGCTGGACTTAGCAGTGACAACGATCGCTGAGTCTGTGGAGCAGAAAATGCAACACTAATATATATGTTTCAGAAATGTCCTTTTGTCTATATGTTCGGAGGAGAAAGTGCTGATGAGGATCAATTTCATATTGACTTTAAATTTTTCATTTGACCCAGAGCTCTTTTTATTAAGTAATGCACATGAGAACATTTCATCCCAGGCCAACTTGATGGCTTGGAGAATTCCCTTCAGAATATGGCAACCTGGATAGAATTTGAAATGCAGTTCATTCATTTATTCTTTTATTCATCCTTTAATAATTATTTATTGGGTACCTGCTATGTGCTTAATTCTAAAAACTATGCTAGTCTGTGAGCAAGACATAATCTGCCCTCAAGGAATCTAAAATCTAATGAGCTAGACACACATTAATAAACAATCCTGGCCCAGAGCAGTATGTTTCGTTAGCAGTAAGTGCAGGTATACAGAAGCACAGAGGAAGGACTCCCAGAAGGTATCAGGTACTTGGGAAGTATTTAGTTCTTGTTGAAAGAATGAATGAGTTGATGAACGAAAGCATGAGATGGCCCTTGAGCTGGTCGAAGAGCAAGGTAGAAATTGACTAAGCTGAAAAGGAGCTATAATAGCATGTTCAAAGACAGCAAGGCGTGATGTTTTAAATAGAGCTCAGGTGTGAGGAGAGGCAGGCGGTAGGGCTCCAGAACCAGACATAAGGAACTTGGGTGTTAAGTCACCATCTACCTGTGCAAATAGACATACTTGTAGATGGCAGAGTGGACCCAAGGGGCCTTGCACCTCTTCAGAGAGCAGGCATAACCACACAATAAATGACTCATCTGGAGGGATTATCTTCAGTGCTTAGTATGGAGATTCACTAGGTAGTTGAGCTTACCCTCTCTGGACAATTTTCCTGAAGAGGCAGTCCAGTAGAACCAAAGCACTTGCTCTGAGAAAGTTTCAAATTTGGGTTCAACATCTTAAACTAAGCAGTGAATGTTTCTAGGAGCATTTATCCTGCGTGCTACAAAGCCCTGTTGTGTCTTCAGTTTTGTCTGAATGTTGGGACCACGTTGTGAAATCTTCTTGTATTTATCGCCTTCCTGCACTCTCCTCAGCTCGTATTTCCCACATTTTTAGTTACTGTCTGTGTGTTTGCTAGTGGTGCAGTTTTGTTCTGTTTTAACCTTGTTTGAACCCCCAAGCCAGTCTGGGAAAACGTGACCATCACTCTTCCGAGCATCTACCTCTGGGACGTGGTCCCGGGGCTTTGACTCACAGGTTAGAAATCTTGTCATGCTCCCCTGAACTTGACTCAATGGCTGCAGTGGCCTGGCTGATTTATGGCTGTTTCTTCCTCTGTTTGATCTTAGCAAACAGACAGCTGTGATGTAGCGGCTTCATTCTACTCACCTGCTGGCACCTTCATGTTTGGTCTAATAGCTTGTTAACTGCTCTGAGGACAGGCACTGCCCTTCCTGGCTACCATCTAGAGTGGTCTCTATGGCAACTGCATCACATCAGGGATGATGCTCATTCTTCAAGGCTTTCCTTCTCCATTTTTCTCTGGTGGCTTCTGGGTAACCTGTAATGGTTGGAGCCCTGCCTCACCCTGCCAGGAAGCCACTGCTGATTTAAAGCCTTGCAAAGAAACTTAACAAGACACACTGCTTTCTTCTGGTCTTGTTGCTTGTTCTGTGTTGCACTTGGTCCAGGCCTGCAGGGACTTGTCATCCCTTCTTTATCATCTCTCCTTTTGGTGCTCCCCAGGTATTATTCCTGGTCTCTCTCGGAAAGCTTTGACATGGTTTCTCCAGATCTCTCTGCTCATTAATATCATTCAGCAGTCCAGTCTGAATCCTGACATTTGGTATGTTCTTTGTTTGCCTCATCCACCTTTGTTTACTCATTCACTCTTCTCTTCAGAAGTGACCCCCAAGCTCTCTGGTCTTCATCTGTACCAAAGAGACTTGTGTCAAAGAGACTCATATAGACTGTTCAGATATATGAAGAAAGAACTGATTTATGTGTGATAGGAGTCTAGAGTGTTCAGTCTGCCGATGGCATTCAGAGTCCAGCAATAATACTGTTAATAACAGTAAATACTATTATATACAGTATTTCTATACAATATCTGTACATAAATAGTATTATTGTGATAAGAACTTTACATCTATACAATAATCCTATAAGGTGAGTACTCTTATTGTCCCCATTGTACAGATGAGGAAACTGAGGCACAGAGGGCTAAGAAACATGCTGTAGAGCCCCAGCTATTAAATGGCAGAGCTAGAACTTGAACTCTGGCTCCAGAATTTATGCTCTTCAACCCTTTCCTGTACATTGGGCAGTGATATTGTTTTCTGTACATGTGGTCCTACCACCAGAAATTGCTCACTTCTGCAAGGCTAAATTGTACCCATCTACAATGCCAAGATTAAATGCCACCTGCTTTGTGAAACTACTTGGCTTCCTCTACATTCAAGATGTAAATTCATTGGTTCATTCAGCAAACATCAAATGATAGTGATTATAGCTTATTCATTCATCTACTCCAGTACAAGGTTTTTTCAAGTTCTTTCAGTGTTACCATGCTAAGTGCTGTGGCTGTGACGATGAATAAGGAGCAAGCAGACCCTGCTCTCACCCTACTCATTTTTTTAAAAAATAACAAGACAATAAAATATAGGTAGAGATAGCTTTATGCATGTAAATACTGATATCTCAGTAATATTTCTATATCTCTATGTTTGTCTATCAGTTGATTAATAGATATTAGGGATTTTTTTCAGTCAATTCCTCCTGCCTGTTCATATGATCAAGTTAACCTCCTTAGCTTGACACCTAAGGCCCTTCATGATCTGGCCTTAGATTCCTTTACTTAGGAATCTTATCTCAGATTCCTCTACAGTCTCCATCTGGAGACTGAACACTCTAGAGTCCTAATACACGTAAGTCAGAACAAGGGGCTCAGTTCTTGCCACCTGTTCTCTAACCATCCACTCCGGACGTAGTCTTCCAGAAAGTGTTTACTCATTGGAAACTATCCAAGCCCAATCACACCATCCTGCTTTGGCTCAGCCTTTTTCTCTCCTTCAAGTTCCCTTTTCATACTTCCCATTTCACATTTCTTCTTTTCCAACCCTTTCCAAACATCAAGTCCAGGTTTAAACATGCCTTCTCTGTGGAACACCCAAAATCATCTTCTTATTCACATTCCCATCAGTGAGGAATTAATCAATCCTTCCTTTGGGCTCCACAACGCTGACCATACCCCTCTGGTACAGCACCACCTCCAAACCCAAGGCCAGCTGTCCGTTACATGTTGTTCTCCCAATGGGGACTGTGGACCCCTTGAAGATGAGGAATGGGCCCTCTTTCTTGCTGCACTCAGAGAACCGAGCACAGTGACCAGTAGGTAGCTATCTTAGTCCATTTGAGTTGCTGTAACAAAATACCAAAACTTAATAGCTTATGAACAACAGAAATTTATTTCTCACAGTTCTAAAGGCTGGGAATTCCAAGATCAAGGCTTCAGCAGATTTGGTGTCTGATGAGTGTCGACTTCCTGGTTCATAGATATACCTCTCACTGTGTCTTCACATGGGAGAAGGGATGAGGGGTCTCTTTGGGGCCTCTTCTTGTAAGGGCATTAATTCTATTCATAAGGGCTCCACTCCCATGAGCTAATTATGTCCCAAAGTCCCTGCCTCTTAATACCATCACATTGGAAATTAGGTTTTAACATACGAGTTTTGGGGAAACATATACATTCAGATCATAGGAGTGCTAGACTTATATTATTTAACTATTAATAATAATAACTTTATAATATTTGATTGCCATCTGCATCTGGCATTCTGATAAGCATTTCATTTATTTCATTTTATCATAAGAATCTTTTGATATAGATTATGATATATACTATTGTTAACTCCATTTTACAGATGAGGAAGCCAAGGCTTAGAAACTATGCAATACCTGCTCCAAGTCACAGTCCCCTAAATAGCAGAGTCTGACTGGATACCCTACACTTTGGTGTCTGTTGAATGAACAAATGAACTTACACCTTGAGCAGAGAGAAAGGAAGTAATCTAGGAGAGCTGTCACTCCTATAGTGTACATACTTTTATACACACATACCCATATATAACCTAAGTTATGTAATTCCATTCCTGAATATGGAAAAGGAAACCACAGAAGGATTCTATAAAATTCTGATTAAAAAGGCCACCGGTTGCAAGCTGCATATTTTCATTTTTTTTTATAGAAGTTGTCTTTGTGTTTAGGTGAAGCTATTGACAAACCTAGAGCAAAACTGTCTTTTAGATGCTTGTAAGCTAGAAGGGTTAGACGTGGAGTCCGTAAAACCTGTTTGGATCTCAGCTTTGCCATGGTTTCTATGTGACCTTGAGCAAGACACTTAACCTCTCTGAAGTTTAGCATAGTGATTGATCTGCGGGTTCTACAATCTGATGACCTGGTTTAAACAACCTAGCACTAAGCTTACTAGCTGTGTGATCTTCGGAAAGATAATTTCTCTGTGCTTCAGTTTTCCCATTTGTAAAATGGGTACAATACAGTAATAACATTTGCCTCATATGATTGATCTGATAATTAAATAAATCAATTCACTTGAAGGATTTAAAACAGCACCTGATACCCATGAAACTATTATTACTTCTTAGATAGTTATATCTATTTCAGGGGAATGTTGTGAGAAGCAATGAGTAATATATTTTTGACACACTAAGCCTTCTGAAGGCTTTGACCCAGAACTAGCACAGCAACTCTTCCAACACATTCCATTGGTGAGACCCACAGGGCCAGCCAGGACTCAGGGGCTGTGGAAGGAACTAAGCATAGGTGTAAAGGCAGGAGGTGTGGCTCACCAGGGGCCACGAGGGAGCAGATTCCCACAACATCAGAAGACATAATTTGGGTTGTGGATCTAGGTCAGGGTCAATGCGTGGAATGCAGGCAAAGGAGCTCTCAGCAATTTCACCCATCAACAGTCATATATTCTACTCACAGAAGAACCCTCAGGCCTCCACTCAGAATCTGTTTCTCATTTTCTACAAAATTCTAACCAAGCATAGTCGATGCTTTCTAAGGCCACAAGAAACCAGAAGAATGCTTGAGAGATAAAACTGATTCTACAGACAGGTGCTGTGGCAACAAAAAAAGGGTGAAAAGTGACAAAAACCAAAATGTAAAAAACTATAAGATGAAAAAAATCTTAAAATGAAGAACAAATGAGGGCACTTGAAACACAGACCACCCTACACACAAAGGTGTATACTTCCCACAGATGACATTTCTGTCATCAGATGTTAGATGGAGAATACACACCCTTATCTTTCCAGTCCCTTCATTGGTCTTGAAGGGGAGGAGGCTGATATTGCTGCTGCTCCTCCAAAGAGGGAGGGATCCTGGTATATCTCGTTCACAAGGAAAGCCCATTGCTGGCACTTTTAGGTGCTTTATCATTGTCTGTTAAAGCTATTGTCAGCCATTTATTGAATGGTGTACTGTTTTTGGGTGCTATACTAAATACTTTTCAAATATCATGAGAGTCTGCTTTGCAACTGATAAATTCTCCCTGCCAATGTCAACTCTTTCATCTTTATTAGGATCACCCTCTTTTACAGATGAGAAAATGGAGACTTGGCAAGATGTGAGTTTGTCTAATTGTCCAATTGGGATACAAACTGATGTGGTTCTGTCTCCTAGTCCAGTGTCCTTTTTCTGTTCCCCGTTCATTCCAGATTATAGTAAATTCTGTCCAAATTATTTACTCGTTTAGCACATTTACTGAGTATGTGCTGTATGCCTAGCAGAGTCTGGGACCAGCCTCTGCCTCATCATGCTCAGTTATTTTGCTCTTACTAGGTACTGTGCATTCTTATATGCATAATATAAATTCATTTTTCACAACAGCTATGTGAGTTAATTACTCCTGCCCATATTGCAGATGAGAAAACTCAGCTCAGAGAAGTTAAGCAAATTTTCCAAGACCTGTAGTGGAAAGTGCTAGAGCTGAGATTCCAGCTCTAGCACTAATGTATGCCTAAGTCCATTGTCTTTCCACCCATCATATCACAATGCTTCCTCCATCATTCTCCAATAAAATGGCTTCTCAGTTTTACTCCAGCCATCTCCCTATTATGCTGGCCCCATAACTCTATCCCGCCCCAAGTGCAGAGCCTAGAATGAGACTGAAGATGTGTTGGCACTCACAGGCAGCACCAGAGTTTTCCACAGCAAACACCTAGACATACACATAGTTCTAGGCTAACATTTACTGAGGGGCCTAATATTTAATGTATGCCTCCTGTATGTACCTGGCCTTGCATATGCCACTTAGGTATTGTACATTTCATCCTCATATCAAATTTGCAAGGTAAGTATGATTGCCCCCATTATACAGAGGAGGAAACAGAGGCTCAGAGAGGGTATTTTTCCAAAACTCATCCAATTTTCCTGACTCCAATACATTGTCCAGTCCTCCAGACAGCTTCAGAAAGGGTTTGAATCCCACAGAACATATTCTGGGAAGAACTTCATTGAAAGAGATGCAGCCTAAGCTGCACCTTGGAAAACTTCTCATGCAGCCAGGATAAGTATATTGAGAGCCAGTGAGCATGTTATGATAGTTATGATTAGGTTTCCATGTACTTCTCAAATCAGATGTGTAAATATAATCAAGAGCATTTCTCTTTGCAGCACAGACCTCCAACAGACTCTACCCAGCATCGTAGTTCGGAGGGAAGTAATAAATTAGCTCTAATTAGCTTTCCCACATGCTGAAGCAAGTTTCCCTTGTCACCACTTTGCAAACAGGAAAGAGGGAGGCTCCACTGGACTTCTACGGAGTGTGGTCCGTGGTGGTTAGGAGGGTAGCAGGCCTAGTTGGCAACTGATTTTGACTTCTATTACCTTGTGTGGCTGTGGACAAGCCATTTTTACCCTCTGGCCTTCATTTTTTCCTTAAGTAAAATGAGCTCAGAGTAGGCTTCTTCTCCTCTTGCACAGAAAGAGTCCATGACTCTACTGTCCTGGAGAATTTTCCAGCTTGAAGTGTCAACTTTGTCTGTGCATGAATAGAGTAATTGAGTACCTACTATTTATCAGGCATTGACCCTGAAACTGGAGATACAAGGATGAACATTAACTTGATTTTGTCTGTAGGAAACTTCCATTCCAAAGTGAGAATAATAATAACAGCTACTCCTTCCTACATGCCAGGAACTTAGCCATGGCCATTAAATACATCATCGCATTTAATCTCTGCAGGTAATTTTTGTTACCTGCATTTTACCCATGAGGAAATACTCTCAGAGAGGAAGGATAAGTCACCTTTCCTTAGTTTTACTGGCAGTAAAGGATGGAACTGTAATTCTAATTCAGTCTGATCTCTTATCTAGTAGATTATATTACCTTTCCCAGAAAGAGTTGGATATCATAAAAGAAACAGAGACAACAAGTCTTAGGGAGGCCAGGGGATAATGACATGTATTCCATGTGGGTGATCGGGGATGGCTTTGGTTAAGACGGTGTTTGAACAGAACCTTGAAGGAAAAAAGTCTTGAAGGCATCAAGATGCCTTCTGAATACATGAAGATGGAAGAAGAAAAACAGTTTAGGTGGAAGAGTGAAGACACAGAGGCAAGAAAGGAAATCACTGGGCACCAATAAGGAAGACTGTGTTGTGTAGAGGAAGCCTAGCAGAACATGAGCCTGGGCTGTATGCTACATTCATTCAAAGGGCATAAAATACCTACTATGTGTCAGGCACAGTGATAGCCTCTGGGAATAACACTGAGAACAATACAGAGTCCACATCCTCAAGGAACTCAATACTCTACTGCAGTGGTTCTCAACTGGGGGCAATTTTGCCCCCCAGCTGACCTTTGGAAATGTCTAGAGATAGTTTTGTTTGTGCTGTAAAATATCCTAAAATACACAGGACAGTTCTCCACACCACATAATTGTCTGTCCTAAAAGGTCAGTAACTCCAATGGAATGACAAGACCAGGCCAGCTCATGGGGAATTTTGTAAGCCGGACTGAAGAATATGCCCATGCCTTTTTCAGATCAGATGGCCTCTGGCAACCAAAACAGCAGAAGTGATAACAGGAAAATCTTTCCATTGCAAATGACCTCCTAGCACAAAAGAAATCAGTCTAGTTGCTTGAGCAATTTTGTTACAGGCCTGGGACACCCTGAAAATGCTCTTCTACCACCCCTGGTTCAAAAGCACACAGTGCTTATGAGAATATATGGCCCACCAAAAGGAAATGTCAGATGGCTTCTTCCTTATTAATCAAATTAATAGTGCCTCTGCAGAAATTCTGCACAGCTGAGGAATTTATTACAAATTACCTAATCACTTGGTTCTCCCATGAAAAGTAAATAGACGGAACCATGCCTAGCCCTCTCATCCTGAGTATTTCAGTGTACCAGAGCTGGGCCGGAGCCTAGCTACTCAGTTAAGCAGTATTTACTGGACCTAGCTAGTGAGTATGCAGTGGAACTTAACTGCATTTAAAAATGCAAGTCCACTTTTCATGGTTATCTCAAAGACAGCTGGTACCATTCTGCTTTTCTAATGCTGGTTAAGAGTAAAACAGGGATTCATTTGTGGCTGTGAGGAGACTTCAGATGCCAGTCCAAGGAAGAAAAGATAATGACCAGGGCACTCTGCAGCATCACAGAAAGGGCACTTGATTTGCAATCTGGCATGCTTGTTTGGCTATCACCTCTGTCCTTACCTGTGCAAACTTGGACAAGCCATTCACTTAGACTCTCTGAACCTCAGTGTCTTTATCTAGAAAAATGGAGAGCCCTGGAATGATTCAGATTAATTGTGGAGAGGCAATGTGGCCACACCTAGCACAAAGCAAGCACTCAGCAAATTGCAGATGATGATGTCGTTTCGTTCTCCCACCCAGATCTGGCTGCAGAGATGTGGGCTGTGGCAAAAAATGAGGATCTGATGTTACAGTTTAGTTACCTTTTTGTCTATTAAGAGAAGAAGAAAAGGGAAATTCCTTGTAGACTAGCAGCTTCTTAGCAATTCATACAGTTCAGGCAATGTCTCTGGATCCAGGCAGAGGCTGGCAAGTGAGTTCTTGACATATTGGAGGGAATAGGAAGAAAAATCAATTAAAAGGGCTTTTCAGTGAATGAGGGGTGGCAAATGCCAGGGTTAATCCCAAAGGGAGACTCATATTTCCATAAGAGGCGAGGCCTTCCCTTTAACCTGTTGGCACCACAAGTTGGAGTTTTCCGGGGTAAAGTCCATTACTGGCAATGGGCGTGCCGTGTGTGATTAATGACAGTGGTTACGGGCCAGTTAGCAATGGAGAGCTCCATCCATCTCACTTCATGGAAGCATCACACACCATTTATTGTCTGCAGGCAGAATGTGTTCCTTTGCAATTAGGTAAATGCCTTCTTTCTGAGTAGGCATGGTGATTCCTGCATTAGTGCCCCCATGCCTCCGCCTGACATCCAAAAGAAAGGCAAAGGCTGAGAGAGCCCAAGAGGAAATAGGTAGTGACCATGTCCAGTGCTATTTCATGACTTCAGATAAACTTGGCCCAGGAGCTTTCACCTGCTCTCAGATACCTTCTTTCAAGGAGACATTCAGCCCAGGGAATTCATAAATATGATGGCTTTAAAGTCCATTCAAGGGAAAGAAGGAAGGGCACAGCATGTTAAGCACAAACCTGTGCTCATTTTCTGCTATTAAAAGAAAGCCTTCAAAACTAATCTTTAGAAAATAACACCTGTCATTTGTGGAGTGCTTCCTCTGTGCAGACACTGTGTTGCCCTCATAAGAGCTCTGGAAGGCATGCCCGAATCATCTCCATTTACAGTCAGGGCAACTGAGGTGTCAAAAAGAAAAATAACTTCCTCTAGGTTAGATGGCTGGAAAACACTATGCTGAGCCCCACAGTCCTCCTCTAGAATTGTACTCTTCACTAAAGTGCTCTACTGAAATTCTGTCTCCATAGAAGCATGTGAACCAGCACACAAAGAATGACAAACTACAGATACATGGTCTTTAAGAAAACCCACCACACAAGAGGAAACAGAGAGCATTAATTTACCCCATAGTTATTTATTGAAAATCCACTATGGTCAGACATCGTGCTAAGTTCTGGGGATGTAAGTGAATAGGAGAGGTGGTCTGGGAGTTCACCCCGTACCTGTGAAGAGGAACGGTAACAGTAACAACAGTGACAACTGCTATTAGGTTGATGCAAAAGTAATTGTGGTTTTTGGCGTTAATGTACAGCTAATACTATACTAATTATTTTGTGTACATTATTGCATTTAGTCTTCATAATGAAGAATGAGTCATAATTATCCACATTTTATAAATGAAGAAATAGTGGCAAGAAAATGTTGTGTCCCCACAAAATTCATGTGTTGAAATCCTTTGCTCTCATGAATCCTCTGCCCCTATAAAAGAGACCACAGGGATCTAGCTGGCTCCCTCCACCATGTGAGGACACAGCTACAAGGCACCATCTTTGAGTCAGAAAGCTGGCTATCACCAAACACCAAATCTGCTGGCACCTTAATTTTGGATTTCCCAGACCCCAGAATTATAAAAAATATTCTGCTGTTTACAAGTCACCCAGTGTATGGCATTTTGTTATAGCAGCCCATAAGGAATAAGAAAGTTTAAATAACCTGGCCAAGTTTATACAGCCAGTAGGTAGTAGATCTATACTTTGAATTCACACAGTCTAAACTCTAACTTGTGCTTTTAAAATACTGAACAAATAATTACAAATGTGTTGAGATTTGCTGAGAGTACAGCGGCGAGCAGATGGGGATAGTGAGGTGATGATGAGCATTTAGAACAGGAGGGACAAGTGCAGCCTTGGGGGAAGAGGAGAGAGCCAATAATGAAGAGGTGGGAGAGTTTATCATGCCCAGTGAACCTGAAGCGCACACCATGTTTGAGACATAAAGGCCAGTGTTGCTGGAATGTTGACACCAAGAAGAATGGCATGATTTGAAGTTGGGTGTGTGGGTCAGGGAGACCAACATATTTAGGGCCCAGTGGGCTGTGTTAAATTTCATCATATGGACCTTAAGCAAAAGAGGGAGGGGCTATGCCAGAAATAGCTAATTATCCACCAAAAAGTTGTGATCTTCATTCTATCAAGTGTGGTTGTCCCTAGGGGCAGCTGTCTCAACAAGGACTGCCTTTTCTGGCTCCTCCCTTGTTTCCCGAGTGCATGCACATGTTTGTTTCTTGCCAAGGAATGTGAATGGATGTGACATGTGTTGTTCCAAGGCCGGGGTTTTGAAGAGGCAGATATGACTTTTCTGGGTTCTTTTTACATTTCTACTCCCTAGAAGGAGACATCTGTGAGCCCCTAGGTGATGACCAAGCCACAAGGTGAAAGGAGCCTGCCTGGTTCCCTGAGTCACCATTTGGCACACACCTCCATGGGCACGGTATTTATTTGTGAACAAGAAGTAAACTTCTACAGGGTTAAACTGCTGTCATACTGAGGTTTATTTGTTACGGTAGCTAGCATTAGGATATCTAATTACAGGGACTTCTTTGGTATTCTAAATATATCTTTATAAAGTACGTTCATGGTTTACAAAACATTGTTTCATTTCGAATAAACAAAGAGGGGCTGGGTAGAGTGGTTCATGCCTGTAATCCCAGCATTTTGGGATGCTGAGGCGGGAGGATCACTTGAGCCCAGGAGTTCGAAACCAGCCTGGGCAACATAGTGAGACCCTGTGTCTATAATAAAAATAAATAAATAAATAAAAATTATTTTTAAAATAAGGAAGGAATTAGATACAGTGCACAAACTGTGAGGTTAAGTAACTTACCCGCAATCATACTGCTGGAGTCTTCACAAACCCATGCACCCTCACTGGATACGCATGAGCTCAGGATCAAAAGTCAAACAGTTCTGGTAGATTTGAGGCTCTTCCTCAGCTAATTATTCCTGTGATTTTTCAGCAACTTATGTAGTTTGTCTCAATTTCTTTAGCTATAAAATGAGAATGACGCTAGCACTTGTCTTACGAGGTTGCTCTAAGCATTAAAGCTCATAGTCAAGATCATGGGGCATAGAGAAAGTTTAATAAGATGAAGAAATTATGTTATTGTTATCATTGCACCATTATGGAAGGACTTACTTTAGACTCCCACCACTACCCCCATTTCCTAATAGGCCTTGCATTTCTTCTCCAGAAGGGAGTCATCTTCCCCAACATCCACATGGCACATGCTTGATTCGCTCAGGTTCCTATTCAAATTGCTCTTCAGAGGACATTTCACAGACTACCCAATGTCAAATAGGCCCCTGCCTTGCCACCCCCTGCTTACTCTGCTCTCCTTTTTCTTCCTAGCACACATCACCTCCTGATATTGTAGAGTTTTCATGTACATATTAATGTCCCAGCTCATTCCACTAGAATGGGAGCACTTGGACAGCAGGGATTTTATCTCTTGTTCAGAGCTGTATCTCTGGCATCTAGAATAGTGTCTGGTATAAAGTAGGAGACCAATATACATTTGATGAGTGAATAAAGGAATAAATGATGATTGTATAACATGTGAGCTATGTTCCAGGTCCTATATTAACTTCAGTTCTTACTGTTTCTTTTTCTTTGGTGATGCCCTAGTGGATCATTCATCAATCCAAAACTTGTGTGCAAATTTTATTCTTTTTCTCCTCTTTAAATGCAACCCACTCCACCTCCAAGGTCTCTTGTTTCTAATACGCTTCCATAACACCTCTGTTCCTGAGACAGGAGATCTGTAGCCTTCCCAGAGTGGGTGATGGGCCCTGGCCTCAGTGCCCAGCCATTCCCTGTGGCATTCATCACCAACACTGTAGAACACACACACTTTCACACCACCCAAGTTGTCAAAGCCTACAGATTAGAATTATTGCTCAGTAAACTTGACTGGACTACAGGGCCATCTTGCTATATGATCACGTTTCCACCAAGATTTTTAAGTTCTGTTGGGATATATTTGATGTATAATAAACTGTATATATTTGAAGTATATAATTCGATGAGTCTTGATACATGTATGCACCTGTGAAACCATCACTACATTTAAAATAATACATATATCCATCATAGCCCAAAGTTTTCTTATGTTCCTTTATAATCTAACCCTCCTTATACATCCCCCATACACATACAACCCCCATACCCAGGCAACCACTGGTTTACTTTCTGCCACTCCAGTTAGTTTTCATTTTCTAACACTTTATAGAAATTGAATCATACAGTATAACATATTTGGGTTCTTTCTCTCAGCATAGTCATTATGATTTATATCCACATTGTCAAATGTATTAATAGTTCCTTTTCATTCCTATTTAGTACTTAATTGTATGGATATACTATAGTGAGTTTGTCCACTCACCTGTTGGACACTTGGAAATTTTCTAGGTTTTAGCAATTACCACAAAGCTGCTACGGTCATTTGTGCACAAGTCTTTGTGTGGGCATATATTGTAATTTTCCTTGGATAAATACCTGGAAGTGGGATTGTTGGTTTGCATGATAGGTCTATTTTTAACTTTTTACAAAGTTACTGAACTCATTTCCAAAGAAGTTTTAGCATTTTACACTCCTTCCAGCAGTGTGAGAGTCTCAATGTCCCTGTTTCTTGCCAACACCTGGTTAGTCTGATTAATTTTAGTCAGTTTAGTAGGTTGTAGTGGTATCTCATTATGCTTTAGCTTGTAACTTCCTAATAATAAATAAGTGATTTTCAGCATCTTTGAATGTATTTGTCATTTTAATCTCTCCTTTGGTAGAATTCACATTTTTAAGGAGTTATCTTATTTTAGAGTTGTAAGAATATCTAAAAATATTTTGATAATCCAGAAAGAAGTTCTTTGTCAGATAAATCTATTTCAAATATTTTCTTCCAGACTGTGCCTCACCTTTTCAATTTCCTTTCCAAGTCCCCTGAGCAGAGCAGTTTTGTTTCATTCTCCCTTCATATTCCTAGAAACAGGAACAAGAACATTGAAAATGTTATGTAATTTCAGTTCAATGATGAGAAAAGCTCTAACTTGAAATACTTCATAGCCACGCACATGAAAGGTGACTGTTTCGTCAATTTACCAATCTGCAAAATCAAGATAATACTATCTATTTCATGAGGCTGTCAGAATGAATAATAGTGAATAAATTACCCAGACCCATGCTTAGCATACAGTACTATTTCAGTAAGTATTAGCTTGCTTTTATTCTGTAATCTCAGGGAACAGAAGTGAGACCAAAGGGTAGAAATCTTAAAGATTCCGATCGTTTGAATTTAGTGAATTATTTTCCATTGTAGTCCAGTTAATGAAATAAAATAGGTACCCATAGAAGCTGCTGAGCTTCCCATCACTAGGAGCATTTAAGTAGAGAAAACATAACCATGTGAGCAGGTTATAGAAGAGATTATTGCTACCTTGCGAGAAATACTGGACTTCTCGTGTGTCTCCTATTCCTAAAAATGGTTTGGTTCTTGGTAGGAGATAATAATGACAATAGCATATCTTCATATTTAATACATATTATATATTATATTATATATAATACATATTATAAAATATCATATGATACGTATATCCTATGATATGTTATATATAATGCTAGTAATTATTGATGATATAATATTGTGTGAAGTACTTAAAAACTATTCTATTATTTAATCATAACAACCCTTTGAGGTAGAGGTAAATATTATTTCTATTTAATAGATTAGAAAAATGAGCTCAGAGGTATTAGATACCTTCCCTAATAGTACATGGCCTGGAAAAGGAGGGCCTTGAATGCAGGTTGGCAATGGATTGAATGTTTCTGTCCTTGTAGAATTCATATGTTTAAATCTTAATCCCAGCATAATGGTATTTAGAGGCGGGGCCTTTGCCAGGTAATTAGGTCATGAGGGTGGAGCCCTCATGACTGGGATTAGCACCCTTGTAAGAAAAGGCTAGACAGCTAGCTGCAATGCATAACCCAGAAGGGGGCCCTTATCAGAATCTGACCATGCTAGCACCCTGATCTCAGGCTTCCAGCCTCCTGAATTGTAAGAAATACATTTCTCTTGTATGTAAGCCATCCAGTTTATGGTACTTTGTTATAGCAAGCAAGAAAGTACCATAAACTAAGACAAGGTCTGTCTGAGTAAAGTCCATGCTTACAGCCCAGGTGCCCTGTGGCCAGTGAGCCCCTGCTTACTCATAGCTATGGGCAAGTGTTGCTGAAACAAACTTTTCTCCAACACCTGTGTCTCTATATTCTCTCACCTGCCCCACCCTCGGCTATAGCGTGTCTCTGAGTCAGTGGGAATGAGTATTTAGGTCTTGGTCCACAGCTGCAGAATTCCACTGCTGTTGGCTCAACAGGTCACCCCGTGAAGTGGCCAAAAACCAAGGCTGCCATGCCTGAGGTCAGCTACCCAACTCACTCTCTACCTGGCACTACCAGCTGGATCTCAGCTTCTTGAAGAAATGACATTCACCATCTCCAGTTGGAATAGGTCTTCCCTGGGCTTTTCCTTCTGGCATACAGAGTGTTTATTTGTTTTGGAAGGCCTCAAAAGTGGCAGCTTTCTCATCACACAGCAGGATGGAATGTCCCCATTTGGTGCCTGTCCATCCAGCCCACAATATTTATGCTGTTATTGCAAAGCTGTTGGCCCCTTAGATCCTAATCATCCAAAGATACTTTTGTGGCTTCTTAAAAACCTAGGCCTGTTCTTCTGCAAGCAAGTGTGTGCCTCACTGCCATCCTGATTACCAGCTCCTGTTGGCAAAAGAACCATTATGATGTGAACCAGATTGTACCAAACAGACGTTACCTAGCAACCAGCGGGAGCCATCAGGATTCATCCTTGTGTTCCAAACACTGTGTGGAATTCCTTAAGCATCTTGGACACAGTGGAGACTAAAAGCATGCCATGAGGGAGCCTTAAGAGAATGGCTTTGGAGTCAGGCACACCCTTATGCAGTCTTGACTCTCAGTGACTACTGTGATCTTGGGCAAGTTACATAACTCTTCAAGCCTCAATTTCCTAACCTAGAAAATGGAGAACAATAATAGCACTTACTTCATACGAGTGTCTCAAATGTAATACATGATGGAAAGAATAATCTTTCATATTAAGTAGGCATTCAACAAATGTTAGTTCCCTTGAAAATACAATTTTTTTTCTATGTGTTACATTTGTGAAAGACACAAACCCAAGCATCCAAAGGACCAGGATCCAGTTACCCATATCCTATATTAGTAATTCACTGTGTCCTTAAGGAAGTCTCTTAACCTCTCTTTGGTTTATTTTCCTCATCTATACCATGGGGACAATAATAAGTGTTGTTCAGGAGCCCACATGAAATTAGGGATATGAAAAAGCTCTGAAGATCAGGATACAAATGCAAGAGGTGACCTAAGTCTATTGCTGGTAGTATTTTCACTTGAGAGGAAGTTAGCAACACTGGGAGACTTACTAGAGGTCTTTGTCTCATAATAGCTTTTACCTTCATCCAGGTATAGTCCTGGTATTCATATCGGTGCAAGAGATATTTGAAATACACTGAAGTCCATGTGTTCCTCACTCCCTTATTTTTTTCACTTCCATCTGTCTGTTGATTTCAGGAAATGTATTCCATCTCAGATACCAAGAGAGCCCATTATCAGGAAAGATGAAAGGGTTTCAGGGGATGTAGTTAAACTAGTTAGTCTGGAAAAATTAAGGGGCAGAACCACCTAAAGGATGAATGAGAATTAGACAGCAGTGCACAAAATTCTCAGATTTTGAAGTGAAGTAAAGATAGGTTCAAGTCCTCCTGGTCTACCACTTTCTGGCTCTGAGGACTTCTTAAGCCTCAGCCTTTTCATCTGTAAGATGGGCATATTACGATTTATTTTTGCAAGGTTCTTGAAAGGATGGGGGTTTTGGTGAATATAAAGTGCCTATTAAGGCATCTGGCACATAAACTATCTACAATATAAGATATATATTAAATAAAATATTAATAAAAGCAATAATAATAACATATATAGTCAGAGGGATACAGAGCCCAAACAAGAGGAAAGGTTCCAAAGGTTTGGTCTGAGCAGCAAATACGAATCACTAATAGGAAGTAAATGCAAAAGGTCAAGAGGCAGGGAGATGAGAAACGAGTCAGCAGGCAGATTGATGGAGACAAATAATTTGGGGTCTAGGTTAGGAAATAGGTTTAGGTTTTGCAGCCCCGGCTGAAAGGTACAAACCAGAACAGCCATCTTGGCCGCTTAGGGAAGTTCCGTCCTCATGCCTTTGTTTATACAGGCCGTCGCTTTTTCCTTCAGGACTCAAATGACAACCCCCTGCAGAAGTGCCTGATGGAAAATAGGTTGTTAGCAAGAGGAGAGGCCGGGATGCTCCGGGCACAGGGTTCTGACCAATGGCAAGTCTGCATTCCACACTTGGAATCACAACTCTGGAATGTCAGAGAGTGGGATTTCCCTGAAGAGTTGCCCATGTGACTAAGTACCCCTCAGGTTAGTGGAGTGAACTGTTTCCCCAACTTCAGTTTCTTTGTAATCAGGTAAAATCTCAGCACATCTAGAATGCCTTTTGGCCATTGTCTCACTGACTTCTTACCTCAGGGAGCCCAATTTGAAGGAGTTGCTAGAAGCAAAGAGAGAAAGTTTGAAATGAATTCAGTCAGTTGTCAGCCAGACCTGTGGTAGGGGATATTTCCCTGCTTGCTGACTGTGCTGGCTCCCACAGCCACCCCCTAACAAGCACCTGGCCTGGCAGAGTTAGGAGGTGGAGTTCTGTGTCTGTTATTAATATCAGTGAGAATGCCTTTTTTTCCTGTTAAATCTGAGTACTAATTATCATCTCTTTATATCACAGAGTTCAGGGAAATCACAGAGCAGACTAAGAACAATACTGCATATGGATGCCTTACTTTGCAACAAGCTGGCTCTAAGAAAGTGGCGCAGCTCATCTGTACAAACAGTTGTCTTTTCCCTGCCATTAAAGCAGGAAGGTGTTGAATTCATGATGGTAATGGACATTCTTTAACCTACCAAGAAAGCTAGGGCATTTTATTTTATCATATGGAGCCGTAATCTCCCAATAGTGTAAATAACAATGGTGAACAGATAATTACTAAGGTTCTCTTAGATTCTAAAAAAATAATACTCTTCCAAGTGAAATAATTGCCAACTAGAATCAAATGGGTGAGTCAGTGGTAGAGCTTGACACTTCCACAGAAGGAACCCAGGTTCAACTCCTGAGTAATACAGTATGTTTCGGTGGCCTGCCTGGTTTTTGAAAAGTAACATAATTAAGAGTTAATAGACTTAGGATCTTGATCTGGTTCTGTCACTATTAGCTGTGTGTCAATGAGTGAGTCACTTCCCCTCTCTAGGCTTCAGGGTTTTTTTTTTTTTCTTTTTTAATTTTAAAAATAAAAACCTTGAACCAGATCACTTCTAAGGTCTTTTTTTGTTTTTGTTTTTGGCATGAACATTCTATGATTCCGTACTGATAAAACTGCAATACTTTAAAAATACTTACATTTTGACTACAATCTTCACTTTGTCACATCTTAAACACTTCTCTATAAAGCCTAAGCCTAACCTCTAACACAGTACCTGATGCACAGCTAGTACTTAGTAAATGGTAGATGGTTGAATGGATAACTCCTGCCTATATCCATCTTATATTTTCCACTTGTGGCAACTTTCTAACTGTGTGACCATTGACAAACTGCTTACTGTGTATAGCTCAGATTCATCATCTGTAAAATAGAGGTAATAATAGTACCTGTCTCATAAAGTTGTTACAAGGATAAAATGAGTTCTTACATGTAAAGTATCTATAGCAGGGCCTGGCACACAGAAAGTTCTTTGTAAGTCTTAGCTATCATCCCCATCCCCATCATCATCATCATCATCATTACCATCATCTCTACTCACTCTATTATTCTTCATACATGTACATTGTCTTCAGAATCATCTCCAGATGCCTGTGTCATTTAGTCATTCAGAGATTACTTCCTTTCACTTTTGATGGTTAATCCTCTTTTGCCATATTAAAAATCAACCTAGCACTTTTTCTCAGAACTTTGGGAAGTGAGTTTTTCCTTGTCTAACAATGCCTATTTGTCTTTTTTGTTTCTCTCAAATTATTTCAAACTGCCGTATCACATAGTTACTTTACTTCCAAGTGTCTCACTTCTTCTATACTCTTACCAACTTCTTTCTTTGGCTTAAACAAAGCCCTTCATTGCATCGTCTCATTTCTGAGAGACACCACTAGCAATACCAGTGAACACTTTCCAAAGATGCTTGGGTTTCAGCTGAGTGGGAGTCTCATCAGATATCTGCACAGGTCATGATCATCATGGTGGCATCCTTTTAATCAGTGAAAATGTACTTATTACGCATCTTATGTGTGCCAGGCTCTTTTCTAGGTGCCAATAATTTCAGACCTTGAGTGTATCATTCACATCCCCATAGGTCCGGCCATCTGTTGAACACATCCCCATTGAGACCCTTCTGTTAGAACTATAATCTTTATTTATTTATTTATTTATTTGTTTATTTATTTATTTATTTATTTAGATATGGAGGCTCACTCTGCTGCCCAGGCTGGAGTGCAGTGGCTCAATTTCAGCTCACTGCAGCCTCTACCTCCCAGGTTCAAGTGATTCTCATGCCTCAGCCTCCCATGTAGCTGGGATTACAGGTGTGCACCACCCCTGTAATTTTTGTATTTTTAGTAGAGATATAGTTTCATCATGTTGACCAGGCTGGTCTCAAACTCCTGACCTACGGTGACCTGCTTGCCTCGGCCTCCCAAAGTGCTGGGATTACAGGTGTGAGCCACCATGCCTGGCCCAATCATCACTTTTTGTATGTAAACTTTTCATATGTACAGTAACTAGTTTTATTTGCAGTTGCTCGATGCTAGAAATAAAAAGCTGTGTGCAGCACACTTGTTGTCCTTGAATAGCAGATCTATACAAGGATTGTAGCCCATCATGGTAAGGGCTCTAATAGAGGTACAGTGGCTAAAAGAAGCATCCTGCTTCTCTGAGGCTACCTTTCTTAATCTGTAAGGTGGGCATGATCTTACTCACGTCCTCAGACTCTTGTGAAGCCATCCTCCAGCTTCTTCTCTTCTCTAGCTACACTTGCTCTCCAGGGGCTTCAGCCAGTCCCGGGGCTCTGGATACCACCTCTCTGCTGATGAGTCCCAGGCAGTAGCAGCTCAGACCCAAGTCTTGGTAATTATTCTCTACTCCTATCTTTCTTTCACATCGTATATTTACCTGACAGCAAATCCTCCCAACTCTATCATTAGAATATATTCTGATTCTTCCCTCCTCACATCCCATCTACTCTCATCCAAGCTAGCATCTTGCCTCCTGGGACCTTTTGAGCAGCCTCCTAGGTCTCTATGCATCCATCCTTGTCAACCTGCAGTTGGTCGTCTCCAGAGCAGTCAAAGTAATAATTTCAAACTAAAGTCAGATCATGTCACTCCCCTTCTCGACCTCCTGTGGTCTCCATATTGTGCTTAGAACCCAAAGTGCTGTGCAGGCCCTATAAGACCATCAGAGTCTGGCCTCCACCTACCACTTTTCTTCTTGTTCACACTGAGCTACTGATTTCCTTATTCATCTTCGAATGTGCTGTCTCAGATGTGAAGACCTTTTCCCTCTTCCTCCGTTGCTTTGCCTCCAGGTAGTTGTATGGCCCACCCTTCATTTCATTTCAGTCTCTGTCCCTATGTCCCTATATCAAAGACCCCTTTTTTAA